ATGGGTCTGCATGAAATATATTCCTATGCTTTATTGACCAAGCGTGAGGTCAAATGACTGGATATTGGCCGAATTTTTTTTTTGCGTTTTTAGGGACTGAGACGAAGTCTCGGTCCAAAAAAAAGTAGAAAAACCGAAAGAGCTTGGTCAATGCAAGAGAGTTTATATTCTCTTGGCTTAAACGTTAAAGGATTCAATGTATAGCAAAAGATTTCGCTTTGATAAGAATCCAGAATGACTTGTTTATTTCGAGAGCCGAGAGTGAAAGCCAACTGTTTTTGTAGCACAATAAACCCAAGAGGGTCGTTTAATTTTTTCTATGTATATGTCGACATTGTCCAAAATTTACAAACTTTGTGAGTTTTCTTGCGCGGTATCAATTCGGGGAATCTCGAACAGGCGAGGGAATCATCTTGCCCGCTCAGGTATCCAATCAGAACACAAGATTTACTTCATCTTGCCCGCGGGCGCTGCTAGCTATATGATAAAGTGATTTACAGAGCTAGATATCTATTGACCAATCATATATTATCCTATTTCACGATCACAGGTCTCGACATGTGACTTTTTTCCACACAAGAGTCAAATTGAACTCTTGAGCTGCAGCATTCGGCACATGATGGTCAGTTGATGGTCTAATGAACCGTTCTTTTTTTTTTCCTTTAGCCCCTTAAGACAGGTTCATCAGTTCCCGAACCGAAATATCGGGAAAAAATATATACCGCAGTCAATCTCAAGTTTTTATTTCATTTTTTGAGAAAATGAATAGATAAATAAATAAATGAAAAAAGAAAGCTCAACAGTTTCCACTTATAGTCATATGGTACATGAACTGATTACCGAGGTGGAGTGAAGCCATAGAGGGCTAGAAATGCCATATCCTAAGTTCAAAATTGAATAAATCAAAATAGTCATTCTTATAAATGAACTCAAATGCTTCATTAAAATAATTTGACACTGAATAACATTGATGTTCAAAATTTCAGTAACACTACTGATAATAATACTTTGGATTAACATGTGATACAGCGAAATCATTCAAACTGCTCTAAAATAGTGCATCACTACTAACGACTTTAACACGAACGATAACATCAACAATAGCATGCTAGTTTATCATCAATTGCAGTCAATTTCTTTTCCAAAAAATTCCAATGATTACGTACCAATCGAGTTCATCCACTTGAACTTCCAGCCAAGCATTAGCCCACTTTGGACTAGAAATGATTTTCTTCAGCTCGATCAATAGACCAAAGGAAACGGCTGAAAACATCAATCACTGTTAGAACGTATCTGTTCAAATGTCCATTCATCTTCACGGATCCTTTTTTGCTCATATCCATCAAATCTATTTGGTGCCTAACATGAACGTCTCTGGCTCTGATAGGTTTCAGCCTCGCCTTATTAAGAAACTCAGCATTTCGGCGATAATGACTTTTGTCCGTGTTTAGAATAGTTTGTATTTTAGCTCGACTTACTCCTAAAAAGTTGTCCCTCAGTGAGCAAGCCAACTTCCCCGCACCAGATCCTTTCGTCCTTTCAAATTCCTCAACCACTACTTTGTTAACCTCTGATGATTTTAATAGTCGACGCCCCTCGCAATGGAGTGCCTTATCACTATGGTCTTCTTTCACTGATATCTTTCCGCCGGCTCTCCAGTATTGCACAGCAGCTGCACGCATTGCTCTCGTCCGTTCTTTCACTGGTGGTTGCGCCTTGCCTTCAACAAGGTCGAGCAGTGCTTCATGAACGTTGTCTGCTAAAACAGATCTTTATGGGCCACATACCTATCCCACAATGATGCTAGTAATGCTAAAACCATAACAACTAAAACAAGAAAAACTGCCGGAATATTTCACAGGAAATGTTTATCAGTCGGATCCGCACTCAATAATTTTTCCACACTCAGTTCAACCAATCAATTCAACGTTGCTGGGCAAATCTTTGTGTTACTACCAGTTATTTTGAAACTGGAAAGTTAAGTGCTTCACGTGCATGTTAGTCTCATAGTGCTGATTCAGTAGAAGAAAAGTCCGTTTTAGAGTCAGGTCATGCTGTTTTATCTAATGTCTGATCGTTAAAGACATCAGTGCGTCGAGCAAACCTTGTTTCCTTTTTCTTTCTTTCTTTTTTTTTTTTTTCTTAAATTCTTTAAATCAATTAGTATACTGTTAAAAAAGGCTCACACGATTAGTTGTACTCACATCTCAGAGAAAGCAAGGGAACAAATTTCGAATTAGAGTACTACCTCTTCGATAGGAACCTTTTCCCGTGCCTTTTAATTTTGGAGCTCAAAAAATTTGCGTCAGTGAGCTCGTTCATGACATGCACCAGATTTTTGTTAAGTGTCTGTTTTGTGATTGGCAATCTGAGCCGGTGATTTGTGATGATGTACTGGTCAGTAGCTTCTTTGCATTTACACCTGTTAAATGTAAGTAACTGAGTATATGATTCGATGGAGACACATGCAATACCTTATTCGTTTGTCGGATTTGTTGCAGGCATTTCAAGATCAAGAGAACATAATTGTCCCACTTATGTTCTATCGAGAAGAAAAATTTTTTTGTCCATATTCATATACTCAGGGAGATATTCGAGAATTTGAAAGTAACAACCCTCTAGAGTGCTGTCACGAGATCCGAATTGGTAAACAAAATGTGCATGCTAACAAGATCTGTGCAGGCATGGAACGACAAAAAATTTGTAGCCGAGCCTGCAAATTGTCCGACCTACAAGTCAGTGGACTCATTTGTCCAAGTTTGTAATTTGGTTTATGACTTGTTAAGTCCATCACCGATCACACAAGTATAATGTTATCCTAATTTTCCAAAATTTATTGTACCTAAGAGTCTGAGCTAGTGACATATGGAGAGGTTTTGGTCAGCATACTCACTGTTTTGTCAGCTGTCATTTGATGCCATTTGCGGCCAATGCTTCTCAACTTATGTCTAGCAAGTAAAAAGACGCTGATCGATATCAGCGAGCCCGTAATGTGACATGTATACTGGTCAGCGGTTTTTTTTTGTGCAACAGCTGTCACTTCAACATCTCAATGTGGATGTCCCCCGTAACAACAATGCACTGAAGGAGTTAAACGATTGCATTGGAAGCTTATTACATTTAGGACCAAATGTTATTACATTTAGGACTTTATTACATTTAGGACAGTTATTACATTTAGGCCTTCAACAAATGTTTCATAGAAGCAATAGAAAATTCTCGAAAGTTATGCAAATTCTAGAACGCGTCTCGGCTTTGCGTTACAAGATCTAACAATTTCGAATCAATTCTCCCAACCCCTCGTGTTTAGATAAGGCCATGTAAACACGGGGAAAAAAAGACATAGGATACTTTTTGAGTGTTTATCCGTATTTCCTTTTCTTTTACAGTCGGATTTTGCTTACTTTAAATGCGATCGAAGACACAGAGGTCACTTATGAGAGACCTTTGTTTTCGTTTTTCCGAGAAACCTGCGGGTTTTTCCCCGGAATTAGAAACGCTTACGAAGCAAATATCGAAAACGCCGACGATGCATATATTGAAAACGCTTACAAAGCCGTTCCCAAACACAACTGAGCAATTCGCTTAAGGGAAGGAAAAGGAAGAAGTAAAAATTTCCATAGCTCCATGTTCGTGTTATCAACTAATGATGTTTTTGAAGAAAAATAGTGTCTCAGCTGGCGAATAGCATCGAAAGCGTCGAAGGAATTACCTAGTCTGGTATGTCAAATTTATCAAAAACATTTCTTTAGGGTAGCGGAATTTATTTATGAAATTTTGCATTGGCAGTACGAAATCTCCAATGCGATGAAAACTTCAGCCTTCACAGAAACAAAGACTCTGCCACTGCGGACATCGATTGCATCGAAGTGATTACATAGAGAAATAATATAGTTTAATCTATCGACAAAATAACATTCAATGGGAGTCGATCGATTCACTCTCGAGATTCCTATTTGGCAAGATACGAAATCAAAACGATTTGCTACACTGAAAGTTGTCTTTTACAGGATTATGTAAGCCCTAACATAACTTAAGCAACGATTATACTTATGAAAGTTGGACACTAGAGACAGAATTGAAATATTGTACTTTCGCATCATATGTAAATCTTCGTGAACTAAACTTAGTTTTGCAACGATTTCCATTTTCGGCCTCACCTTTTACCTTCTATATTCGAAAAGTCTGATTATTCTGGATTCTAAAAAAAATTGTGTTTGTTCACTGAGATGATAAAAATTTCAAATCGCGACACACGACAGGTTTCGGTCAGGGTAACCGTGTTTGAGGCTGAAACAATTAACGATCCGGAAAACTTCTTAGCTTTGTATAGCTCATGTTCTCTCGTGTAGAATGAGTCTTGAAAAGGACTATTTGAGTAGCCTAACCGTTTCATTTGTTTGAGCTTGTCAGGAACAATAACAAGGTGCAAATTAATTAAAGTCAATCGTTTGAACCATCTGCGTGACTACAAAATAATATATTGTAATTAAATTGAGCAGATATTAATTTGATCACTTCACTAAGCTTCAATGCGGTAAGATTGTTTTGAATCGTAAGCGAAAACTATGAATCTTTGAACGAAAGACTAAACTTTGGGAAACATTCCAAAGCATTGTGATGGCTGATGAAATAATCACTGAAACATAACACGCACTGTTTTCCATACATGTCAAAACTTGAATATAATAACTCGTCCGCTCGATTCGTTAAGGCAACGAGTATTATAAAGTGTGGGTATCGCTGAATGCAATTTTGACTGTTCTCATATGATTGCTTGCTTGTGCGGGCACTGGCATCGATTTGTCCTATTTGTCCATATTTACTCGAGTGATAGAGTGATCACGGGAACAAGAACGGATCAAGCTCGGGACTCGATCTCTTGTTACAAGCCATATTTTAGGACTTTTGTTGACCTTTGTCAGCAGAAATTTCAAATTTGCAGCGAAAGAAAAGGAGTAAGCAGAGAACTTTTCCCTTTACATTTCAGTTGTTCGTGACTATTACAGAAATAAGGAAACTAACCGGCTACGATGGCGACCAAAAGCGACTTGGTGCGTAAGAAAATCAAGGAACAAAAAGAGAATATTTGCAAAAATAGCCCGAATCTCTCTAAAGAAGCTGTCAATGACCTGGAAGCAGCCCTTGGAAGATTACATTCCCTAACCTTCAAAGCCGCAAAACAAAAGGATTTATTTTTTGAAAACCTACAATGTCTTCAAGGATATCACATCATTCAAGTTTTCAATACATGGGCGGCCTCTCGTCTTCAAGATTCACTTAAAGAGCCTCAAAAATCTACAAAAGAGATAGTGACACTTTTCGAAATTTGCTTTCAATTTTGTTGTTCCCCCATCATGTCCAATAGAGTATCATTTGAGGTGTTTATCAGGACTGTTAAATTCTGCTTTCCCTCTGATTCAAAGAAGCACTACTTTTCGACAAAAATTGTTTTGATGCTACTCGAGCTTATGCAGATTCTCCAAGAAGGAAAACTTACTTTTCCCGCTTTGGATTCACAGAAGAAAAATTACTGCATTAAAAGTGCCGCGGATCTCTTCGAAGACCTAATTGCAATTTTAGAGGCGAGGGACTATTGCGCGGAAGATATTGTGGATATAATCTCTCAAGCATCTAAGTTTGCCCGGGCAGATTCCAAACACAAACCTAACTCGGAACTTGTGAAGACGTTTTTTCCTAACTTACAGGCACCTTTTGATGACTTTATCCCTGCGATTTCCTTCAAAAACTGGGGTGATCTCCTTCAATTAACGACGGAAGGGGATGTTGCATTCATTCTTCGTTTAGCTAGTGAAGATCCACTTTATACACCATTACCGGGTACCATATCTCCTCTTTTCCATATGGTAGGTGTCTTACAGGAACTTGAAAGAAAAGGAGAGCAAGTTGATCTTGGCTGTGAGAAAGAACGACGTGATGTTTTCTTTAAACACATGTACGATATTTTCAGAGACGGCTACGAGATGACAGCTACCTCATTGAAAATCTTCTCGTGGAAAAAGGTTAACGATGCCGACTTAGCAGAGGTGTGTAACATTTTCTTTCTCAGAGAATGTAAAGAGCCTAGACAATATCCAACCCACAGAGTACAATGCTTCCAATCAATCACACAACTGCTGCATGAAATTCCAGACGGTAGTCTAGTCACAAGAATTCTCAAATTTTGGATTTACTCATTTCCGAATGATCTGGAAAAAGCGGAGCTTAAGAAATTGCTAGACCTCTTCATAGGACTCTTTGATAAACGATCAACTGAAAGAGTAAACCGCTTACAAGAAAAAGCTGAACGGCTCTTGGGGTATATTGTGAATATTTTCAAGCTGCTTTTAATCCATCCTTTGCCTGGAGTACCTGGAGTATTGGAGGAATTCAAGCGATTAGCCTATTCTTTTTTAAAATGGATTTCACAAGAAGTTAACTTCAGCGAGGATGCGAAAGGAAACATGGTTGCCCTTTTCGTGCGTTGCTTCAATCGTACAGAAAGATGCGATCAATTTTCCTGCGAAATCATCAAATCTTTGTGCTTATGCAAAGGTTTGTCCTTAGAATACAGGGAAACTTTCTCTAAGGAAGTTGTAAACTTTTTCACTCATCTCGACGAGAACGAAAAAGACATCATTGTAGCTTTTGTATCTAAAGTATCTACGTCCAGTCAGAGCCTTGACAGTAATCAGCAAGTCTTCTCCGAACTGTTAGAGACACTGAATCAATTGAGTTTCAAACACAAGCTTCTGAAAAGACAAACTAGATCTAAAACATTTCAGCTCATCATGGATCTGGCCAAAGCTCCGCTTACGAGCATGAAGACTGATAATATAGTTCGAATATTGAGGCATTCAAGGAATTCAAAGGATGACCTATCATGCTACGCATATTTTTTAAGAGTAGTAACCTCAGCTACAACAATTGTCAAAGAAAGAGCTCAAGAGTATTTTGACATTCTTTTCTCAGCAATTTTTGAAACTTTGAAAGGTTCGAAACCCCTCAGTGAGGTCTTTAGCATTCACCATCGGAAAATGACTGACCTACAATTTGATGATGGTGTGTCAGTCGATGTGATGACCATTTGGAATGTTGTCGTAGCTGGACTATTAGCAGTCGGCACCTTTAATGAGAAGGTTGACTCGCATTGTTGCTTGCCGGTTTTTGCAAGGGCAAAGGGATTTAACTCCCCCTTCGAAGCATTGTTACTGTATTTTGAGTTAAGGCTGGTGTTTTGTAAGGTCATTTTTTTGTTGACAAATTCGCCCAAGAGAGGTAATAGAGAACCATTACCTCAAGCCCCTGTCGGAAACTTGGTTGATGCTCTGAAAATCATTGTGCAGTCTGATGTCTTAACAACCGAGGCGAAGCTTAGGTTGATCCGAAAACTTTTAATCCTGGTGCAAAGAAAACCATGGCTTCTTACTGGAAATACCTTACCCTGTGCACTCATGAATGTGATTCCACTTAGCTGCAAGATCTGCCAATCAGATAAAATGAAGCATTTGGACTTTGAGCTCATTGCAACCATCATTGAACGTCCTGGAATGGTGGAACGCCTTGGAAGTATTCCTTCGACGCCGTCAAAATCAATGTGTTCCGTTCTTTGTTCAAACATAGATGATGTTGGCAAGATATACGATTGTGTTGCCTCCTTCAGAGTTGCAAAGCAAGCATTCCTGGAGCATATGTTACTACTATTGGAATCAACTATCAAGGTTTCCAGCTCAGCCATTGAGGTAGTTCGTCTCCTAAAAGAAGCAGAAGAACTACTCTGTAAATTTGACTCACAACTGATGCCTCTTGCTGTTTCTATCTTTTCTTACCTTGTTGAAAACAACGTAGCCCCAAAGGAGAGATTGGCCTTTATTGCACTGGTTTCTTCACGGTGGGAAACTACTTGCGACTCAAGCGTGTGTTCAAGGTATGAAATTCCTCATATTCTTTGGAAAGCCTACGAAAGTAGTAGGAATGGAAAAGGAACGCTTGAGGCCACGGATCAAATACACGAACTAATTGAACGCGTCAAAGACCTGGAAACACGAATAGTTAAAGAGGCTATGGAAAATCCAGGTACCTTTGAGCGTGGCAGCACTATTCCTTGCGACCTAGAGTGGCTTGCTCTCCATTCCTCTTTGTCAGGCGAAGATGTTGCCCTGTGCTTCCACCTCTCTTGCTGTTACCCAGGTGTTCACCGTCTGACTTGTTTCAGCCCGTATGCAGGTTCTGGTTCGCAAATACAGGATGGTCACTCACTGCCTTTACCTCCTCGGAACGACGAATCAAAAAACAAAGACGATTTCCGGAGCCGTACAAAGTTCAGTAGTGCCACCCAATATTCATTTGAACAAAAATCTAAGGCTTTAACATCAGCGTCTCTCTTGACTCCAGGTAGAATTGCAGAAAAAATGATGAAACAGTTAAGACGTCTCTTAGGTGATGATATAAACCTCTGTGATATTGCAGTTAAGCTTTGGAATTCTTTGTTTGCTAGCGAATGCTTAACTTGTCCAGATGAAGTCTGCAAACCTTCAGACGATTCTTCAGCTTGTGATAATGTGGCAAGGCTTTTCCTCTACTGCTTGGAAAAGGCACCGTACTTTGAGGTTGTACCTTTCTGGTTCGACAATGAAATCCGCAAGGGCCTTAGTCAGCACCACGTCCTTCAATGTTCCGAGGTCATATTTGGATCATGTGGATGGAACGCCCAAAGCCTGGACAAGGAGGGGCATCTTAATATTCAGGTTGCCATTATTTCAATATTACAAGACATCCTGAGAAGTAGCTGTCAGTTTCCCGGAATGCCCCTTTTCCCACATACAACATCCTGTTTTCGTGGTCTTAAACCCCAGCTGGAGTCACTCCTTTGCATTCTTCAAAAGTTCTTACCGTTTCAAATAACCTTTGATCTTCTACAACTCGCCAGAAGAGACCTTCAAGCTGCAACTACGATTGCAACGATTTTTCCTCTGTGGACTTTGGAGAGAAATGAAGCACAAAAGTTGCTGGAGGAAGTTAAAAGGCGCATCGAAACGGAAGGATTGCTTATAAACCCCTTGTGCAAAGACTTTGTTTGGTCAATGCTAGAAGCGTGCGGCCGGGTTTACAGAGATAGTTCTAAAGTTTTGCTAGACAAACTCGAATGGCTAACCGATTTACACGGCCTGGATGTTTTAAATTACGGCCTTGATCGGCTTTCAAACTGGCGTAGGTTGATGACGGCGGACGGACACCCTGCCCACGTGATTGACAAATGGTGTGTGTTTTTCCTCTTCACGCCCAAAGAGAATTTTTCTCTGCGTGATGTTGATGCAGTTCTTGACCTCAATCCCTCGTCCCTGCAGCTCGTTAAAAATTCCTCTGAGAATATCAAAAGATGCTTATTTTCAGGAAACGGCTTTCGAGAAACGCATTTGCAGGAAGAAGAATCACCAAACCCTTTGATCAAGGAACACCTTCGACTGGCTAGATTTCTCAGCGAATTAATTCACATATTGAAGCTCCGTATGCCTGAAAAAACTGCAATCGATGCTGTTGTTGAGAGAATTGTGGTCCAGGCTTGTAACAAGCTGTGCAAGAGTCATATGGAAAAAATCAAGAAGGAAGAAGATGAAGTCAGCAATACAAAAAACAGAACCAAACAGTTAGAGGACAAACAACAACAGGAAGAAGACAAAACAAATACGGCAGAGGACAAATCCAAAAAGGGAGGAGACGTAACCAAAAGGGAAAAAGAGCAAACCAATACGACAGTAAGCAACTCAAAAAGGAAAGAAGAAAAAGAGGTAGAAGCCAGAACCGAGAACATGGAAGAAAACGAGGGAGAAAAGACGGCAGATAAAATTGCAAAAGATGAAACCAAAAGTAGAAATCCCTACAGTATCCTCCGCAAGACACTTGAGGCCCTTTTCAATGAGTTGTTTGCCAAACAACCCACAATCGCCGATAATCAATCCAGTTTTCCAAACTGTGGTGAGGCACGTCAGGGACAAGAGAGCGAGTTAAGTTCGACAGGTCCCGTCTTGAAAAGTTCAACTTTGCCGCCGCATAATCTCCCAAATAAAGTTTATGAGTCAATGCTGGTATTAATGCGACGCTGGTTGTCGGGTATCGCCAACAAACCAACCCTCGCTTCAAACACTATGAAGATTGTTAAATCACTTTTCTCATTCTCGTATGAGAAAAATCATTCCCAGATAAAGAAGCTACAAGACGAGATTCGACTTCAAATTCTATCATTTCCAAGAAATCAGCTTCTTCTTTCTCAATTTCAAGCAGCAGGCTACAACCAAGGAGACTTGGTGGACTCTAAGGACCTTTGGGCTTCGCCCTCTCTCGAACTCTCTTGTTTCCTCAGCAAGAGTGAGTTTCCAAGTGAGAAACGATATGAAACGAAACTAACGAATGTCCTCAGGCTTCATTGGATCCAATGGAAGGACCTGCTTTTCATGCTGAATATTCACTCTATAAAGATCGATGACTGTGACTTTCCCACGAGAGATCTCTTTGGAATTCAAGCTTCGCTGGATGAAATGGAGAAGCAGGTTGCGGCAGCTATAAAAGAAATTGGTGGGCGGATTGAGTCTGAGGACGTTACCAGACGCGTGACGCAACTAATTCGTGAAGAGCAGCGACACCGTGCCAGAGTGACTAAATTCCACAAGAGAGTAAGTAAAATGATACACGCTAACTTCGTCAAAGACATTGCGAGCGCAGCTTGGAAGCTAGGAATTTGGAACGTATTCCAGTATCGTATGCAATACTGTCTTTACCAATGGTTAAAATTGCAAATTGTAACATTTACGGAGGAACGATTATGACAGCTTGGACGAGGTGCTATGATTTGATAGCCTGTAAACCTCCCTATAGTACACGTCAATAGCCCTTCGAATAAATTGTGGTGTTATGATGGAACGAATAATCTACCACAACGCACAAATGATTTGAAGATGCTCCGATCTGTAGATAGGGTAGGAAAAAGTTCAGTTTCCTTGAGATGCATTTTGAAACTTTTCTGCCATGGAATCAGTTCGTTTCAAAAACATTTTAAAAGGGTGGCTACGATTGACTGAGTTAAAGCTGACGTTATAACAAACCTTGTCTTTATTTTCCAGAAAGAGACTGACAAGCCTTGTAAAAATAAGGTGGGTTTCGTGTGTTGTGTGTGCTTTATTATATACCTGGCTTGCAGTCATTTCACTGGCTAGCCTTCAGGAAAGTTATCCTGGGCAGTAAGCCGGTAGGCACCTTGTTCCTTTCAGTATGTCAAATATGATGCTTATGAACATTCTCACTAAATATTCTTAAACTAGACTTTATGGCTCGTAATTAACTTAAAAAATAAAAGAGAAGTTAGAAAGCACCAGGTTAACGCAATATGAACTCGAGGTAAATAAATAGCTTCCCACAATTATTTTTGCGCTCTTGATTCGCTGATCAATATTGAATGCGCTAATTAACATTTTCTGAATATGTAATCGAATCGCTCTTAAGGTGCACGTATATATGCTGCTTAAAGGAAAGGCATTCTCTGTTTAAAGTACTTTGATAATTTCTGTTTCCTTTCCAAGACGGAAAAAGGGAAGACAAAACTGGTGGCTGTGTGGGAAAACCGATTTTTAGAAAACATCAAACTTTGCTCAGAGTTAATTCCAGGTAAGCGAATGAAAATGTTAGGTAACTTCATAAGTTTCTCTCAGAGAACTTGACAAGAAAAATAAAAAGACTCAAAACGATCTCCTGTCTAAATTTTCAACGTTCGAATCCAGCTTAAAAATAGCATTAATAACCTCTAAATGCAGAAAATCTCTTTATTTTTGCATGCTAATTTAGCTGGATTTACACATTGAAAAAGTGAACCCGTGACTCGTATTGTCTCGCAATGCCAATCGGTTGTGATGAACTGAATCTGGTAATGATGAGCAAGTCAAACGAAACGTAGTTGTTGAAAATCGACCCACGAACGATACAATCGTCAAATTGGCTTGAAGCATTTCTTCTAAGAATAAAATCGGAATCTGTGTCACGACGAGGACATAATTTTTTCATTTTTGGTAACTCAAAGTAAGTGGATTTTGTTAGTGCTTCTGGGTAGAAGGGAAACTTGGCACGCTTCGACTTGCCAAGGAGGATTTTAATCGTAAGTCTTAAAAGACTTCACGAAGAAGGGAGCTTGAAAGATGGTGGGACTTCTTGGAGAGATTATGTCACTTTCTACCGTTCCAATTTGTAGGTTGTTACGCCCCCAACGGTTTCCACTCTGAGAAACCTGTGATTTGCGCTTTGTCCGTGGACAACAGGATCTTGACTGTGTTCAAAGAGGAGAAAGGCCGCAGAGAGGAAATCGAGAATGTCGAAGTTAAGCTCTTTGAAGCTGGTTTGTACGTGTACGGGTTGCATACCAGTGGTCATGACTACGTCACTGACGAGCTGTGGGCCGCATTTTATAAAATGCTATTGGAAAAAAGATTGGTGCCCACAATTGTCTTGTCCAATGAAAGCCCGGGATTTCATTGGATCAAGAAATTTGTACAGCCTGGTAAGTGGAGACCACACGTGAAGAGATTTTAAATCAGCCAACACGTATTTTTCAGAGTAAAGCCAACTCCCATTTTTAATAATGAACATGTCTGTGTTTCACATTTTCAGTAAAAGTACATCCCTGCTTCTGGAAGTGGCACCTACATTGCGGCATCGTTCCTCCAGAAGAAGACTATTTAGACTACCGCCCAATTGAAGCAGCCCTATGTCCTTGGTTACACGGACTGAGCGAATACCTTACCTTAACAAGGATAAACGTCGCTAGGTTTCGTTTCAGAGATTTCACGGTGAGTTCATTCGATATCACAGAAGCTGGCCGGAAAATTTTGACCTTACATTCCCCTTCTTGTGAATCAGGACTAATTTATATCTTATATCCTTTGCATCCAATATCACTCACTGCTTTTGCAGTAAATTGAGTTGGATCGCATCCTTTTCAAAGCTTATCATATAGACACATTTGTACTGTTATTCGATGACTGGCCATTGGTTGGAGTGGTCTATGCTGAAAAACGCTTTTAAAGGGCTTAAAATGAAAGGAAAGCAACTGCTTACTTGTGGCATGCTTATGTAGAATGCTCTAGTGAAGTTAACGAAACGAAATGCCCAAACAGCTGAGCCGTTGATTCAAAATTTTTTAAACTTAAGGCGTTTTAGCTTCGTGGTGTCATTTATTATTTCCTAATTAAAGAAAATACAGAAGCAACTAATTAACTTCAAACTTTCAAAAAAACTTGTCTAAATCATGATCAGGATGCTCAAGTCGTTGAGAGGAAAGAGCAGCAGGCGAAAGAAGTGGCAAGAAAATTCAAGGCCACTCCTCAACTGGAACGGGAATTGCACTCGCTACACAACGACGCCTTAGTAATAGAGAAACTGCCATCGAAACTGGAATTCGCTGTCAAGAAAACACTCACCCAAATTGTAAAGGGAGAATGGCCCACCACAGAAACTGTCAAGAAGCATATCGATATGAGAAGGCTGGCGTTTATCAAATGTGAAGAGTGCAAATTGAAAATTCAAAAATGTCATTGTAAAAGTTACCATGAGGATTATGCAACTATTGTACTTAGGGTGTGTGAAAACGTCCGGGAAACACTCTTAGTTTTGCTTTTCTGTGTGTTTCTAGTCAATCTGTTTGCTCTGGACTAATATAGCTCTTGGTTAGGGGGTTTTAGGAAAACGCTAGTTGAATGAGGACACTTCTTCCGAATAAAGTTTCTTTGAAGAGACCTAATTTTCTTTTAGTTTTATTTTGTTTTGCCCTTTTCTGGCCTCCACTGAAAGGCAGAGTGACGCCTAAAAAAGTAGGAACCACTCAGGGGTCAAAGGTGGTTGGGCTGCAGACATAAGTTTACTTTTGTCGTTTAGCTGTTTCCTTTGTTTTCGTTATTTTTTAGAGGGCTCTTCTATAGAGTGTTGTGAAATTAAACCAAAGTAATCAAAGTAATCTAAACGAATGAAAATATAAGTTTATGAAAAATGAGCCAACAAGAACGCAAAGTAAAAACATGCAAACTGTTCAGGGCGCGAGAAAACACGGGTGACAAAGCCACGCATGGTCTTAGTTTTAAAGCCGACTTTCTGGACCAATTACTGAGCGTAGTAGAGAAAAAAAAGTGATCTTGAATTACTTTAAACGCTCAAACGAAAGTGCTCTATGCGCAGAACATAGTTGGTTAACCAGAGCAATGCTACTATTAAATTACAAGACTTTAAGAAGCTGAACTTTTAATATCTACATACTGACATTCAATCAAAAATCAGATCCATTTCATAAGTACCTGACTTTAAGTGTTTTACTATTAAATATTATTAGCTATGCCAAAATGCTGACTTCTATTAGTTATTCGCTACAGTGAACTGAAATCTTGAAGGTGTACAGAGTCTGGTTGGTAGCCAGAGCTAAGTCAAGATATAGTGAATGGATTCAATCCAGAGATAACGAAGATCATGTGGCCTGATCGTCCGGGTTAGAGCGGTCCTGGTCCCAACTGATGTCGAACACCCTAAACAGAAGTTACCTTCAGAGTCATGTGAGTTAGACATAGCCCAATTCAGGACTACTCTCACCTGGACAATCAGACTACATGATTGAATAAGTGAAAATTGGTAACTTTTAATTGCTACCCAGGCAGAGGTTTGAGCAGGGGAAAATAAGTAATCAATGTGACTTGGCACTTGACATATTTCACATAGAATTGAGTGAGAGACCCAGTGAATCTTGTAATGACCAGCTACTCAACCTTTAGCACCAAAACCATGATAAGTGAAGTAAACAGTCAATACTAACACAAACTGTAATAGAATAATTCAGATCAGTTTATATCAATTGTGAAAAGTGAATCGTCCATTCCTATAAACTGGTATCAATAAAGGACTGAGAGGAATTTCAAAGTATAATTCCGGCAAAACCTAATTTTGAAGGTTGTACAACTGACAGACAGAGACACACAGAGAGAGAAACGCTGAAATACATACACACAGACAAAAGACAGCCCAACACACAGACAGACACCTATTAATGCAAAAATAGCCGAGGTAATCGCAAAAACAAGCAAGTGGAAATGAGGCCCTTGAATTTAAGTGCCTGTGAGAATGGCCCCTCTTGGGATGTCATCAATAATTTCACTACTTACAGTTACAATCATTCTTACACAAATAACAAATTTTTCCACTACAGTACCACAACATTGTCAAGCAGAAAGGTAAAGAAAATAAAGAAAAGCATGACCTGAGTAATTGTCTTTGATTCAAATTGTCATAGTTCAATATATGAGGAATTTATGAAAGACAGTAATAAGAATTTTTATTTTAAGGGTTAAAATAAGAAAGAAGATTCAATCAACACTTTGAGCAAACCACCCTAAGCAGTATCAGGATAGTTACAATCATGTTCCAGCTCCTGTGCATTTAGACAATTGAAAAGGAAAGTTTTCAATTTCACTATAATCTAAGGAGCACCCTTAATGGACAATGGTCAATAATCCCTTTGGCGCAAGATCCAGGGTTTTACAACAAACTAATTACAAAGTCTGAAAGAATTTGCTGTTCATCCCCTGAATGCCTTCATGCCAAGTCAGTCTGTAAGAAAAACTAAGTCTACATATTCTCATTTTAATCCAGGAATAATATCCATAAACTAAATTAGTGAAAAAAAGTGATCTAAAAAAACCTTCTGTTAAAACCAAGAAGTGCACTGTTCAATGCATTGTCAGCTCCTGGCAATACATTTATAAAAAGTAATAAATTGCAACTTATAGATATTAATTCTTCCATAAGTTAGTGAGAAACAAAACATAAATAATGTACATGTTAGTTAAGTTAAAAATAAGCAAACCAATGAAATAAATCCAGCAACAATACTCATGTCCTCAAAAAATTCCTTTGTGCTCACACATAGGAAAAGTACAATAATTTCCATTTTTGGACAAATTCTGTTATTAAAAAAGCTTTATACAGTCATAAACACCTTGATTTCCACCAACAAAGTCTTAGCAAAATTACATAAGCAAATGCCTTCAGTTGTACAACTTTCTTTCTGCTTAGAATTGTTGCTAGAAAAGCATTTACAAGCTTTTCCCAGCCAGTCTTGAACAACTGTCTCTTGTCTAGGCCCTGGTTGATTTATCGCCTTCCCAGGCCACCTCTGTCAGCCTGATTTTTCTGACCCGGCGATAGTAGATAATACACAGGATGAAAAACACAATCACCAAAATAAAACCACAGATCTAAAGAAAAAAATTATTTAAAATACATGTCAGTTATTGGGAGAGATAAATTTAGAATACCCAGTCAAGAGAGCTATTTGCAGATTTGTGCTAAGAAACATTGAGTGACAAGTAGTTGCCAAATTTTGTCAGACGAACAGGAAGAATTTTAATGAAAATTGTTGTCTCTGCGTCAAAATTTTTCTCTTGTAATCAGTCCCAAAAATTCAAACTGATGGAAATCAAGCAACTGATTGCTGTGAAAAATTATGTTTTGAGAAAAAATATTTTTGCAAATATTCTCCAAATGACACGATGATGCAAATGTTGCTGCAATTAATGTCCCCACAAACAATTGCAATATGTTTTGGAAACAGTAAAAGCAATGCCACCTGTTCCAGAGTCTTGTTGCAGCCACTTTTTCCAGCCATTTTCCCTTTAATCACCCTTGCCTAAGATTTTGAAAAAAGCTTTCTTATCTTCCTTACACATGGCTTTGCAGCCAATTTAGGTGCCTTTTTACACTCAACAAACATAAATAGGAAAGCAAATTTCAGTCAACTAACTACTGCATCAAAGACAAAGGGTCACTTCATTTCACCAAGAGAGAGATTAAGCTACCATTTAAAAGCATCCTAATAGCAATAAGCACATAAAATAGTTTTACTTACTGCTGCTATGATAAACTGCGCAGACTTCAGGGTCCACTGAGACAAAAGAGCCGAGGAGAACAAGAAGAAGAAGAAATACGACAAGGAGTAACTCAGCAGAAAAATCCACTGTTGGAACAAAAGCAAGTAAAATCATTAGTTCAATGCCTTTGACTATGTCTAACTTTACACAAGTTATAAATACATCTACAGTATGCCATTAACTTCTGTAACAAAATTTTCCTTTAACCCCCTATGAGTGACCAAGACAGAATTTCTCCACACAATATCACTACAATATCAAGTAGACAGGTGATGAGGAAAGAGAAAAATATCAATTGGAATGCAGGGTTAATAGTTGATCTACCTTCAAATTCTCAGGACTAATGGCATAAGAGTTGTATGGTAGACAGCAAGGAGAAATACTAATGAGATCTTGAGAGCAAAAGGGTTAAATATGATTCTTTAGAATTATTTTACAATTTTTCAACTTTTGAAGAAATTGAATCAGTTTCTTTGGCCAGCTCTGGTCATCTGTGCTAAAACAGAGCAAAACTGAATCACTGAACACTCACCAGAGAATATTCCCTCTGCCAAACACCCAGTATCTTGACTTTGCAGCAACCAACCACATGGAAGAAGATGATGAGTAATGCTCCAATCCAACACAGAGCACTGACGACAATGAAGAAGCCATAATGAGAGAAAATGCTGGATTCTTCATGACTCAAAACCAATGCAAATGCAATCACACCAAGAACCTAGAGATTTTACAACATAATCATCAATGAGAAGGCTTTCAGCTGTTCTCTCTCAGAGAAACCAAAAGGAAATTTCTTCTTAGTCAGTAACAATACATTTTTGTCCACAAAGGTGACGAGAAGATAGAAAAAGGTAAAGTTTCCCCACAGCCCCATACTATTGTAAGACAAATCTGTTTTCCCAACGGAAATGTATTGTTTTTGTCATTGTTTTCTCTGTTCAAGAACTGAATGCATAATGTAGGATGGGGCTGTGTGGAAATTTTACCTAGAAAAATATCAATTGTAGATAATAATCAGTAAAACAACAAATTTTCAGTGTTTAATTAAATAATATGAAGTGAATGAATGACAGTGAATATAATTTATTGTTGGATGTTGCACAAGAAAGGGCTACATTTCTAGAAAATCCCAGACACTAATTCATATATTTCCCAGTTTCCCAAAAATCTCTGGTTTATAGATTTGTTATTCTGTACAATTTTACAACAAAATGTTACAGGTTCGTCATTATCGGCTATAGATAACCTATTGATTAAAGCCCTTGGTTCTTGATACCTGTGGCCACAGCTACATCAGTGAAGACTAAACCCTTTCACTGACGTGACATTACGCAGCGCTGTGTAGACTGGATTTTAATAGCAACTACGTAAGCCTATTGTAAATGTACATATCAAACACTTCAAATCCTACGTATAAATCATTAAAATCTGTGATTTGCCGGTTAAAAAATGTTATGCTTCACGCAGTCGTAACAAGTACGTACTACGGCAAAATATTTTCGTATCGTTACATTAAAAAACACTGAATTGTCTAGAATAATCCACTGATGTAAAACCCACTGTAAGTTTCAAACACGCCAAATTTCGCAGTTGATTTGTCAAGAACACTTGTTGGGTGCGGTGAGGCAATGCATGCATGTTTGAAAAATACCTGCATATTTCAAATACGATTCTAACAAAGACAGAAAAACATTTGACATACAGAAAATACAAAATCGGAAACTGAAATCCGTCTGAAAGCTATCGAAATCGTAGAAAGAAATGTACATTTAACATAATTAAGAAGTCGTTTGACTTTCACTTACGAACTGTAGCAAATATAGGAGTCCTTCGAGCGAAATCAAAAAATACGTTTTGCACCCATAACTGTCGCCTTCAGCCATCGTTTAAATAATTCTGTTGAGAAAAAAGGACAATGAGGTTAAACTTTGACGAAAGAAACCCCAACTCGAAAGGAAATATTGCGAACAGACGGATATCCCATCGCCGTAAACATTTGAAATAAAACTGGAATCGCTATTATTTTAAATTCCGAGATAAACAACAAACTAGACATCCTCTAGAACGTAATATGGCAGCTATCTGTTCGAAAAGTAAGTATTAACCATCAGCTTTCAGGCTGGAAGGCGATAAATAGAAGGAAATACTTTTACTATTCGTTATCAACAAATTGGACGCTAAATAACTTGAATACTGCATTTGAAAGTGAACGGTGACATTCGATTTTGTCAACCTTATATCAGTTTAGACAGATCTCCAAAGACGATTTAGACATGAAATATTATCACTTCACACTTACCTTACGTTTCAGTAGAACAATCTTGCATCAACGACAGCGAAAAAAACCGAAAATATCTTGAAAGCTTGATGCTGAGACCCGTGAGAAATAATCCCTAGAATCCAACAACGTACAAACAGCTCAGCGGCTTTCCACGTAATTTACATAGTTACCTTCAGGGTGATTCTAATTTATGTGCATTTCATTACTGCATCTAAAGGCTGCCGGAACTGAGTTTTTTTCTCTCTTTTTTCATTTTTTTCTTTAACTTTTTAAAATTTATTGTTAGTTTTCTTAGCCAGATGGCTTTGTGGATGTTTGAACGCTACCTCTTGGCCCTATCTGATATATCAAAGTTCATCTCACATAAGTACGGCATAAGTCAAAATCAAGTAACTTCTAAGAGGCACAAATGCAATAATGGTCATTTGGAAGCCTAGATGAAGGCAAGGTGAAAATTTCCCTTTCTTTTTTTACCATGTGAGATAGAAGTAAATTGGTTTTTCTCTTAATCTAATATGTTAGTAGTTCTCTCAAGCGGGAAATTGCCAGAGGACACGCGCACTATCAGAGAAAAGGGAAATTACTATGTGGCTACCTTATTACATATGGTTCAGAGCATTGTTCATGCTTTCAATTCGAAACCATATTCAATGCATATGAATTTGTTCACGTGAAGCAAGTGTGGAGGATTTTATCGGCATGTTTAAAACATATGGACTTTATTATTAGCATACTAGTTTCGCTGTTTGAGGATGCGGTATTAATGTACAGGGGTAATTGATTAATCGAGTTCCTTTCTGAAACGAATGAAGCGAATGACCAATGACTAGTGCTGGAAACTCTTTTAAGGGGTAAATTACGTTATCAATTCCGTTGATAGAAACCAAATTATCATGTTATAGTCCTCGACTAACGCAGCACCACAGTTTCTTTCGAAATTCACCCTCTTGATGAATTTGTTTACATGTTTGTTGGCTTGTTTGTTTGTGTGTTTGATTGCTGGTATATATAATGGTGGCGAATAGGTTTGCAGGTTGGCAAATTTGGACATAAAAATCTTAAAGATGACAGATTTGTGAAAGCAAGCAACAAATTAAACGAATACGTAGATTTGAGAAAATACAGTTAATCTAGCAGATCGGCTGGAGATTTTGCTCGGCTTCTCGATTTCCGTCTGGCTTTCACTAGAGGTTTAGGCTGATGGGAGATCGAGTAATAAGATGCTGAGTACACTACAATGTCCTAAAGGTAAATTAGCATGATTCCAAAGAGCCTTTGTAGAAGCTTCTCGTTATCTTTAGTATCCAGTGTTTATTTCGAGCAGTCCCTCCTTTTCAACGAAGTCCGCCTGTTGCACGAGTCCGAAAAAAAATCAGCGAAAATGGTGGTTAGCGCGCCGCGTGGAACCCTGGGAGTGAGACCGCTCACAGTCTATTTCCAGCGTTCTCCACCAAGTAATGCGGCTTTTTATTGATTGTAGTCCCCAATTACTAGCACATATGTTGGGGCTTCCTCAGTTGAAATTTTCTTATTGCGACAAAGAGCGCAGATCAATACAATTAGTATAAAAAATAACAATTCGCAAAAGATATGGAAAAAAAGATATCGAAAAAATCGAGCATAAGACTTCTGCAACTTTGCAGAGATCTAAACAAAGCTTAGTTCTGATCATGAATACACTGCTATCTATCAAGAAGTTTTCAAGAGTTGTTATTAAGAATCGCAAGTAGATTAAACATGACGTTTACGACAACTTTTATTCTGAATTTGCTAACTTCTTATTTGAAAATATGATAAAAAAATGGAATAGAAGAAATAGAAGAAACAGGATAAATGGAAATAGAAGACCACAAAAATGTTTTTTGGTGTGTATCTCCCATAATCAGATGCTGTCATCGCGAAGGCAATTATTGCCAATTTTCCCAATATTTAATGGCTTCTTTGCTTTCACTTTTCTCAGGGAACAAAAAAATTTATGTAAAGCAAAACAAAAAAGCAAAAAAACAATGAAAGAAAACCACGCTAGAAAAAAATGTAATCATTTCGCCTTTGATCGCTGAAAATTACTCGAGTTTTAATGGAGCGAGGTGATCTCGACTCACTCTACACGTCACGCATCGGTAGCCTACTCTTGCAATCGGAACTGACGTCAATCGAGTCCATTCTCCCGTAGATATGTCGAAGCACTCTATGGAAAATAGTTCCCGTTCCCCTTTGTAGTCTCGTCCACCAACAACGTAGATCTTCCTATTCAAAATAACAGCCTCGGCATCTTGGCGATACTCGGTCATGTCTAAAAGAGAAATTGTTATTATCATCTGAGAGAGCAAAACGGTGTAGAATGTAAAATGAGCTTTCAGCTCAATGAGGTTAAATTTTGTCATTTTTTGGCGTTTATTGGTAATAAAAGGATGAAAATCTTGGCAAATCGTAGGCTAATCACTTAGGTGTATATACCTGTGGCTAATTAAAGCTCACCTTTAACCATGTTCCACTGATGCGTCTGTATATCATACACTTCACACTGTCGGAGCGTTGTGTATCCGTTATGACCACCCATGACGTAAATTTTCCCCTCAACTTCCACAGCACATGCCCCTACTTTCCCACAATTCATCGGTAGCACAAAACTCCAGAGGTTAACCGCTGGATCGTATCGCTCCATGCTGATCTCGGGCTCAATTCCTTGTCCTTCACCACCGATTACGTAAATATGCGTTTCTGTATTAACCATTGCGTGACGACTTCGTGGGACTGTGGGAGGGGAAAGAAATTGCCATTTGTCGTTGATAGGGTTGTAGACCTCAAACGAGTTGCCATGGGAACCATTTATAATTCCACCTGCATCAGAAACGCGAAAAAAGTAGCGATTGTCCCCATAAAACACCATAATTTGGATACTGTTTCAGAATTTTGCAATAATTTGTTTGTATTTCATTCTCACCTAAGACATAGAGCAATCCGTCATGTTCCGTTGCAGCAGACTTTGCCCTTGGTTCTTGCATTGGGTTCACATAGTCCCAGTAATTGTGGTGCGGATCATAGCATTGCACCATATCTTGAAGAAGCAGGGAGGCCTGACCTTCTATAGACCCGGCGCATGCGTATACGAATCCATCAACAGAGACCACTGAATGATCGAACAGTTGAGTTCTGGAATAAGAAGGAGGTGTTTATCATGTGTTAGCTGTGTGATACATGGAAAGCAAACAACATTTAATCGAGGAACTCATCTGCTACATCAGTCAACCTACAATATTATCTATTTTGTCAGACAAACACAACTTTTCGGAGCTTTGAGAAAAAGTACTTTTAACCAATGCCCAGAAGACACGAAAAAGGGAAAACTGATATCAGCCACATTGAAGCTCGATTCCAAAAATTCGGTTCTCATAATGTACATTGGAAATCAGTGTACTGCTGACTTTCAGGTGTGATATACCCAGCTGACAATCCCCAGTTAAATCACTGTTTACTCTAAAGTTGATCTTACTACGCTTCGAAATGGTCCATGTGACCTACCACGATTACGCTTAAACCATTAATAATACAACAAAATGGCTCAGCTAAGTGTCGAACCCAGACCTCTCGACCCCGAATCTGGCGCGCAAATCAGTACGTTAACGCGTCTCCAACCGGGAGGCCCGATTACTATTTAAATTGGAACACTTTTTCAGTTTTTTTTTTTATGAAAAAAAAAAAGAAAACTCTATGTTAGCGTTTAGAGTGGTATGTTGCTCGCACCATATAGATCGCCGCATTAGGATATGTATCTTGCGCCAATCAGATCACTGCACTAGGGTATGAATCTTGCACCGATCAAATTGCCGCATTAGGGTACGTATTAATCAATCATATCACCAATCACATGACCATTAGGCAATCTTTCACGTGCGCAAATTGTATTCCACCAATCAAATTCCATTTTGTCACATTGGCCTTCGCTCCATTACGAGTCATTTCCTTGTACACAACCTGCGTTTCATCACATATTCTAACCGCAATGTCCAACCCTACTTAAAAAGATTTAAAAGAACTAAATGCTACTGATGGTGAATTTTCCAATTCTCTCTCGTTTTAACTTTTTCTACAAATAAAATTCGCTTTTAGCTATCTTGGACTGAACCCAATTGCGTGTTAATTTCTGGTAAACAACCTGCATTTTGTCACGTAATTCATACACAGAGGGCAAAGTCCAGATAGGTAACAACCACTCAAGGGGCCCTCTTTGAAATATTATCCCTTTTCTCTTGTTCACAATGTATCTTCACTTATTCGCGATCGCAATATATCTTTGGTCTGGGTATATTGGAGATACAACAGTTTCAGTTTGCTTTTCGTAAAAAAAAAACCGTGAAACTATATTTCTTAAGCGAATAATTTTGATTTTCTCTCTGATAGAGGAAAGACAGTGAGCGTAATCCCTATCGCAACCGTTACATGGCCTCGTCACGTAACGCACTGTCTTTCTCTAACGGGGAATAGATGGTGTTGTGTGACGAAACCAAACAATAGCAGCGAAAGAGACAACGGTAAGCGCGGCATCAATGCATATTATTTACCTTAGAGGTACTTAGACAATAGAGACAATAGACCACAAAATCCCTATAGATGTAAGTTCAGATAACCCAGGTATTTTTTTCTATCTCCTAAGGTAAAGTAATGCGATATTTTAATTCTTTGAAAGTTATGCCCTTCTTCTGTTACAAAATGAAAACATTAGGTACACAAAGTATCCCATCTTAACCCACCCAGCCGAAGAAAATAAATCTTGCATGCTACGCATGCCTATGTTTTTTTAAAAAAAGTTTCGAAGGAACTTCATCAAAGGAGGTGTTGTTTTGGCCGACAATCTGGCAGTTCTTATGCGTAATGGTAGGGAGCTATGTGCTTTGCCCTGAGTCGTGCAGACATCTGTAAATGATTATAAACCAATGCCAGACCTTCATTCAACCGGTTTTAGGGATTGCCTTTTTTCCCATTTCTGTCACCATGAAATAGAAGGGACTATTTGTGTTCCAGTACTTACTTCAAGGGCGCTAACGAATACCACTGATCACCGTTAGGCTCGTAACAGAAGGTCAATCGACCTTCCTCTAGATTTCGCCCTTTACCTCCGACAAACAAAATCACGTCAACTAATGTTGACCAAGTTCTTGGCAACGTCCGCGGACTGCTCAAGGTCTTTCTGGTGTTCTCATCTTGTGCTGAATTAAATCGCAAGGCTTCCAAAACCATCTCTTGCGCTGTTGGTGAGCGCTGCACCAATTGTTGTCGTTCAACATGGTCCATTAGTACGCTGGGAGGAAGGAGCCCAAGGCGAACGTGCTGGAGTAGTTTGGCAAAATGGACGCCTCGCTCCCTACGGTCATATTCAGTCCATCTTATTAAGCTGTCGAACACCTAAGAGATCAATAAGAAATCAGTGAGACGACTTAGGATTTGTATTTTCAATATACTAATCTTAGACAAGAATATTATTGCTGGTGACTTATACCTCCCTGGGAGGTATGGGGAGGAAGGGGGGGGGGGGGGAACCAGGAGCCCATTATCCAGAGCTTCCATCTTCCATACTTACCCCTGTCCCGTATCTTTTTATTTTTGGAAGCACCTCCCACGGGGTTTTTCGCGGGTGTTTACATAATAGCCAGTCATTAGAGAGCTGAGGTCCTCTATTGTTTACGTAATATGCAGGCTGGACGAAAGTATTTCAATAATGGCGAAAGCACGGAAAGTTTATCATTTCTTTAGGGAGTTATGCGAACGTCATTCTGTTCTCGCGGGAAATTAAAGAAACCCCCCACGTATCTCAGTTCTAAAAATAAAAAGATACGGGACAGGGCTGACTCAAGGGTACAATTGGTATGGAGGCTCCGGGTAATGGGCTCCTGGGGTATCCAATTAAAGATTGATATGTCGGTCATTGTACCTCTTTTCAATTACAATAAAGAATTGATGCCACTAATTTCTAGTGCCTTCACAGACTACCTGGCGTGTTTCACGGAATGAGGTTAGACAAAATCTTAAAATCTGACTCTTACTATGTTCGTGGTTGCCTCTGCGACAAAATTTTGGCACCTTAACCCTTTACTTCCCAAAAGTGATTAACTTGTAACTTCCCCCCAGTAATAACTATACTTTATCCAGCAGACTAAAAATGAGAATACTTAAAATTATCAGATAGAAGTTGTTATCTTAATCTAACACCAAATTCTCTCAACTTATTTCAAGGAAATGCGTAGAAGCTGGAGGGGAGAATTGACAATCAGATCTTGGGAGTTAAAGGGTTGACAACATGTAAGAAGAGCCGGTATATGAAATTTAAGGCTCATTCGAAAACGACGGTTATTAACAAGTAATACATAGTTACGTCCAACAGATAATTACTCGGTCATGATCCCCAAACTATACAAAGCCAAGCCGAAGGGATATCCAATTTCACTTTGTTGAAACCTAAAGACAGACGTATTATCTGGCAACTTGAAGTATGCTAAATTTGGTGAGAACCAGAGAAATGAAATTGCATTTACTCATATTTCCGATGTAAAACTGACTAAAAACAGAAACATAAAAGGAAACGAAATGAAAATATTAGCTTAACTATGTTTAGTTGTGCACAAAGCATAAATATTTCGTTTACCCTAAAAATACTGTGCGTGGGCGTTTTCTCAAGAGGGAATGTGTATAGAATCAAACACAAAATTACAGCGGCATCAATCTAACCTGAGATTGTGCTAATAATACAAACTAAATTCTCTTCATCATCCATCATTCATTTTCATAATCACTTTAGAGTCGCCTTACTACCTGTTGCTCACTAGTTGTACAAATATCATTGTTGGACAGTATGCTTTCCAGATCATTTTTATGCAGCTCCAAAAACTGCGTTGTTTCTGCGACTTTGACAAAATTTTCACATAGAAATCTGTGGCACCGCTGATGGAGCTTTTCTTGTCCATGGGTTAGCGAAATTTCCCGCACCGTCAAACAATTGTCAGGCGTTAGAAAACTCACAAGGACGTAGGAACATTCCTCGATCAAACTTTGTAGCTTGAAGAAGACTGCAGCCTTGAAAATGTCAATAGCGTTGCCGATGTTGATAAAAATTCGTCCCCCATACATGTAACCCAATATTGCCTCCATGACGGAACGCTCAATTTCTTGAGGCAGATCCACGTGCTTGATGAATCGACCGCTTTCGCTGTCTATGAACAACGATCGAAAATACGGACTCGCTACGCCGAGAATGTTACGATGGCACGAAAACTTGAGGCTGCCAATTCGCAGCGTTACATCGCAGAGAATCGCCTCCCTGCGTAAGAACTGAAAGTACTCGATGATAGAATCTTGGAAACTCCTATCAACAAATAAATACGTTTGGTCCTTTTTGATTCCATTAAAGTCTGTCTGGATATCTCCAACATGTTGGGAAGGCATGTTGAACTCTTGAATCTGATTCCTTTAGTTTATTTTTACTAGGGCCGGGTTTGATACCTTAAATGCGTACAAGTAGTATTGACATGCCAAGAAAGCTGCGTGAGTATTATTTATTCGAATTTATGCTCATTTAATAGAAGCATTTGTTGTGTAAACTAACAGGTACCACTGGTGTATTATTGTATGCAAATGTTGGCGGGTGTCGCCCGTGTGTTATTCGAATTGTAAATGGCTATTGTTCACCTGTTAAACTAAAGGAATGACAGGAAGAAAGAGCGAGAGAGAAACACTGGTCAGGAAGACTTGATCATTATTATTTTCTATGTTTTGTTGGCATCGCAGATGTTGGCCGTTCATTTTTTATCGCCAGGGGGTCGGAGGATTTTGGCCGGTGTCACGGGAAAATTTCCCTGATTTCCCCATAAGGCTCTGAACCTCTTCATAGGGAGTTAATCGGCAGTCAGTTTTCTACAGTCCCTCTTTTATACTATGTTGGCGATGACTAATCCCCTCTCCATTCCCCCTGAAAACCATGCGATCTCTACCAAAAATCCCTCGATACCCCCACCCTCTCTGCGACAAATGGTGACCGGTCCGAAAGGAGCGGAAAAAAAGAAGAAAATGGAAAACAGGCGTTGGAAGGCAGGTAATTTAGTGTTAACAACTGAGTTGAAAACGTACATTGGCCACCGTAGAGAGTTAAAAAGGCCGACGTTTCGAGCGTTAGCCCTTCGTCAGAGCGATCGCTCTGACGTCCGAATTACCTGCTATACTCTCCCACCGACGCAGCACCACGGTTTCCTTAGAAAATTACCCCCTTTATTCGTTGGAAAGCAGACCTCAGAGGCACAAAAGAGTAGTAAACATTTTTATTTTCAAATCTTGCAGCTTTTCACTATATGTTAACGACAAGCACTTAAAATCTGTTTTAGTGGAAAGAAACTCGCCTCACCCAAAAGGTGGTGTGTTGCTGTTCCGGTATAATTCAGAGGAATATAGCAGGGGTCATGGGGCTCCCGGAGGGGTACAGGATATCGAAGAGGAACGGAAGAAAAGGCATAGATAGATAGATAAAGATTGATATGGGCAGCTTTTTGATTTGTTTCTTCTTACAGGACACTTCAATTACATTACTTAAATGATTGTTTACATGCGTGGCTACCAAGGCGAAACAGTTCGCGCCTCCTGCCGTGATCCAAACTGACGATCGCGTGACATTAGAATGATCAAGCTTTCGTCTCTAGAACCGAAGTAAGATTTAAGTCATCTGCGACAATGTCTGATGAACCGAAAACAACCACTTCTGATTTTTGGAAGGGGCTTTGGAAGGACGGTAACACTGGCTGGCATCGTAACGAAGTGAATGCATTTCTGATCAAGTATTTTGACGAGCTCACAGGTGGACGATCGAATCTTCGCTTCTTCGTGCCCCTGAGTGGAAAATCGGCGGATATGTTGTGGCTGGCCGACAAAGGGCATACTGTGGTTGGAGTAGAGCTCGCCAAACAAGCAAACGAATGTTTCTTCGCAGAGAATAACCTGACTTTTACGGTGGAAATAATTGAAATATCTGACATGGTCTGTGCACATTGACTCAGTGAAGAAATCTTTTACGCAGAAGGTTGGAGCGTTGAAGAGAATGAGAATCCTTCCGAAGAAGGTTCTCGAGGAAATATACTTTAAAACAATTATCCCCAGTGTAACGTATGGAATTTCGGTATGGGGAAATTGTTCTCCTTCCGCACTGAACTCTCTAAACCATATTCATGCAAGAGCAGCTCGTATTGTGAATAACCTCGACTCAACGATGGCAGATGACACATGTCTCATGAAATCCGACTGGCTGCCCATCTCTTACTTCTATAAAAAATCTGTACTGTTTCTCTTGCACAAAGTATATTTTGGAACAACGACCCAGTCGATATGTGAACTGTTTTCTAAAAGAGTTTCTTCTAGATCTTCTCGTGTTCCTAACCAATTTAATGTCATTAGATTTAGATCAGAGACCGGCAGGAACTCCCTACGATACAGAGGTCCTGTTATTTGGAATTTTGTAAATAGATTAGTTAAAGTACCTGAAAGTTTTTATTCTTTTAAACAAATTTTACGTAAACATGTTAAGACTATTGACAATTTTTCATTTGAGAAAGAGGCAACAGTAGTTGCCAACAGAAAGGACCATTTCATTTACTTTTAGATTTATATGTTAGTCTTAGTGAACACCATTTTATTTGTATATAGTAGTTCTAAGTTATTATTGCAATTTTTATATATATGTAATTCTTAATATTTAGTATAGTAGGTCCACATCAGCCCTTTGGCTGCCTTTCACACAACCTACTTATCAAATAAAGAATGTATGTATGTATGTATGCAGTCAGTGAACCCGTGGAAGTATACAAATGTAAAGAGAAGAGGATCACAATCTTTTCCTGCGACCTCTTCGCTGTCACCGAAAATGATGTGGGTGGGAAATTCGACGCAATTTGGGACCGTGGATCGTTGGTTGCCGTTGCTCCTTCGTTCGGCGATAGGGGTAAACGGTATACCACAAAAATGCGTTCACTTCTGGCTAGTGATGGAAACTACCTTCTTGAAAGCTGTTACTATGAAGTTGACCGTGGCATGAACCCTCCGGCTAGCATTACTGACGAGCAGATAAATGACATGTATGAAGAAGACTTCACTATCAAAAAGCTGGAAATGAACAAAATTCAGGCGAACCCCGAGAAGGAATCATCCTTTGCTTTCGACATAAATTATTACCTGTTCAAGCCAAAAGGAAACTAACCTAACATTGACCTTAAGCTAAAGGACTTTTTGTAAAAAATACAGTGTGGTTCCCTTAGGATCAGAGAGCGTGCTTGTTTTTTTGTTCACTTGCATTTTTCAGTCTGTTGAGATTTACCCTAAGTTTAGTTGTAACAATTTGATCTCAGATTTCCCCATCTGAAATGCCAATGTACACCAATCATTGATTGCAAATTGTAAGATCAGTTGAAATTTAGTAATTTGTGACTAGCCTTGCATATTGGTCAAATCAACACTAACATAAATGAAATGGTTGGTTATTTATCTTAGTCAGACCAAAACTATTTGAGTCTTTCTGATTGTTTTGTTTGTGTGCTTAGAAAATTGCTCAATTTTCACTTCATTTAGCTTGTCCTCCCCACTCACTCAAATCCAGACATCATTGATCCCCTTGTATAGCCTAGAGTATGCATCAAAACTTATTTTTCAGTGTTTTTCAGTGTTTTCATTGAAAACAATTTCTTTTTTCAAATGCAGTAATTAATCATTGAAATAAGCAGTTCACAGTCATAAGTTTGTACCTTTGATGATAAAGAAGTCAAATTCCTTGATACATTCCCTAATTGCATTTTAATGAGCAACATTTGGAACTTAAAAAGATTTCTACAAACACAAAATTATGTCACTGCATCAGAATGAAACATTATAATACAAAGTTGAAGATTGACTAAAATCACACTTTTCCCACACTGGTGATGAATACACAAACATGATTCCAAGTAGTCAAGACTAATTATTTACAAAAATTACAACAGGAGAGAAAACATTTGCCAATACAAAAGATATCTAACAAAACTTTCAAGGAGTGGGAGAAGACTTAACCCATGAAATTATGTTTATGCACAAATGTAGGATCGAGGTCAACTTATTGATTCTCAATGTTAGTTTTGAGAATTTCAAGCCTCATGAAAAAAATATTCACTGTGATTTCCTTCTATTTGAAAGATTTCTACCTTAAAAATTCTACAAGGCTAATTGCAGCCTGTGACCAACTGGAGCACACCAACCTAGAATAAAACACTTTTCTAACAATGACATCAGTGTTTTCATACCATTTCCTGCAATGTGCATAAGGAGCGTAACATTCAAGAACAACTAAAGATTGCAAAATTAACACTGTTTCCCACTGGTAGACTTGAATAAGAACAAAAAAACAACAAAAAAAGGAAAGTAAATGCACGTTATGTGAGTGCATATCATAGCATTATTTCTACTATCTCTACTCTATATCATGTTGATCCTTACTTTGTAGAATAGTAAATGTTACAAACTAATTTTAACATTGCATGGGAAAAGTGCTTGTGGTTGGCGGTTAATGGTGTGCTTATCTCCAATTTGTCTTGAAACAACATCCAAGGAGTGATTCTTCTACTCAGAGTAACTGACATGCAGTGAAAAAGGTTTTAAACAAACACTCAACTTGCATTTGCACATGATCTTGTGTTGGTAGAGGCTCAGTCTGACTCTTACAATTATCACAAAGATTTGTTTCGCTTTCCAAAGAATAAGATTCTCTTTTTGAAATTACAGACAGAGTGAAAGAGATAACTGAGAGAAACTGAGGAGAAACAAAACCAACTGTTGGTTCAACAGATCACAATTTGCCCTGAGGCCAACTACTGCCCATGTAAATTTTGTCAACAAGTAAAATAGTCCACTGTCATAACTGAGGCCAAAAGATGGTAAAAATAACAAAGAACACAAAGCAATCAGTAACTTCTATGGGCTGTAGTCATGGGTTGTCAATTCCTTTTCAGAGCTCTCTAAAACTTAAGAAACTTTATCACTTCAAAGTACTGATAAACATATAAAGGCATAAAATTCAAAGTTACTGTCAGTGACAAAGGTGCTATTTATAATTTCCCTTTTTCTCTCCTAGGATCTATCATTTTTTTTTTAAAAAGATTCTACAAAAAAAGTCCACAAACACTTTTTGCTTCTTTCAAAGAGCCATTTGACTATTCTTCCATGCAAGTTTCAGTATTAGACAGCAGTTGTTGCATGTTTTCTTGTGCAGTGTCTGATTTGATGTTTTTTTTGTACATTTTCCAGGTTTTTCATATCTTTCATAATTAATGCAATGTGCTGATTTGAGTGAATTTGTTGACAGAAACAGATGAGCTTAACTCCTTGGCTCAAATGGAGGAAAATGAATAGTCAAACCAAAATTCCTCCTCTCCTTTTCTTCAACAAAAACAGGCCCTGAAGCACCATTATCTTTCCTGCAATGAAACATGCACTGTCCAAACACTTCCTTCTGTACTACAAATCCAACTAGTAAAAAAAAATTCAAGGTCAGTTGCAATTTAACAGCTAGTTCAGCCAGTCATCCTCAAAGTTCATATCAGTCCTCTTCGCTTCTTGTAGTCTTCAAGGTTTAGTGATCTCCTAGGTGCTCCATCCCTTTCGGTGTTGGCAGGTCTTGGAGTTACTACCACTGGACGAGACTCTGTTGAAAGAAGGCTTTGTTTAAGTCTTTGATTATCATTATTTCCTCTATCTCAAACAAGACATCCTAGCAGAGGATAAGGGAATAGTCCCTTCCATATTTATCCATCATTTCTCTAATCAAATTTATCAACAGTTTCAAAGTTTGATGACCATACATGGGTTATTGACTGAGTAATCATGCAACATATTTTTTGGTATTTGGTTGGCTTCTTCAGGTGAACAAAAACATGTTTCCTGAATTGCTATCTATCTGTCATAGATAAAGTAAGCTTTACATAACAAACTTGGCCATTACCCAGCCAAGCTTGGACAAATACACATCTTTCAGAAGCATAATAAACACAGAGGAGTCTTGTTTCCTTCAATCCTGAACAAATAATTTTCCTGTTCTATTTTTATCTAGCTCAGCACATATCTTTGAGTGTAGACTTGTTCAATGTATCACTTAAACTTGACTCTGGATATTTCCAAAATGTCTGTACCCCAAAGCACTTTTATAGCAATTGTTATATCCACTGTAGATAGTCATAAAAAAAAGTGTGTCACCTGTTCCAGGGGCAGGAATGTCGAGATTGATTGTGATGTCGAAGTTGTGTGCCGAAAACAGATCCTCTGACTGAGAAGGTTTCCCCTCAGGAGGATGAGGTGCTGCTCCAGCCAATGGCATTTGTGAAAGTCTTTCTATATCTGACACCTAGAAAGCAAACAAAACATGCATTAAAATGACAGAGAAATGATAGTGTCAATTGTATCTCCACCAATGAGCCTCCACAAACAACTTTGTCATCCAGGCAAATGTTCTATATATTATTCTCTCTTCTTTGAATACCTTGACAAAGACAACATCTCCACAGCTTCTAATAAAAGTGCATCCTAAATGCTTAATTTTTTTTAGGGGGGATCTGTCATATTTACAGTCTATAATTACCATCTTTGGCAAATAAAAATGTTTTACCCCTTGAAAAATGGGTGTGCTTTCATCTCCCATTCAACCTTTTATTCATGGCAACCTCTTGTGGTCACTTCCCTCTGTAAAACGAGCTGACTACTGAGGAGAGGGTCCATTGTATCCTCATACTAACTCAAATCCACTATTATTAATTCACCATTCACATTTTTTTATTCAAGATATGCACATAGTTTTTCCATTGCACAATTGTAAAGGATGAGTTGAACTTACATCAGCTGTTTCAGTTGGTTGGCTTGATGATGAAGCCTGCAACAAAGATGAAGCAAATAATTTGGAAAAAATCTTACAAAACTTCTTCCAATAATTGTACAGTATGTCTACATGGTATACAGTGTCAATAAAAGCTTCAGAACATTGCAATAAATAGCAGCATATATACAAGAGAGCATGATTACAGTATGATGGTCATAAATAAAGGAAATGATCACCACCTAAAGAAGTTCTTAATTGTAAAACAAATTCTCCTTGTCTGCAGCTGGGAAATGTATAGAGAACAGTATGGAGAATAAGCATACTGATCTTAGGGTGTAAAGGGCTGCTACATAACACTATAAAAGTGGCAAAACAATAAATATCAACACTTACTCCATCAGTGCTGGTGGATTGGGGCATCGAAGAAGAAGCTGCCCCTTCAGTATTCGCTCCATTTTGTGCTTGTGTAACAGAACTTGGAATGGTTCTATTAGCCTGAATATAAAAGCAGGTCTGCATAAACCCAAGAATTTAAAAGTACAATTGACATTTCACAAGTCTTTTCACAAGAAGGTAGACAACTTGGTGAAATCACAGCTCTACAGAAAGAATGTATATCAAGTTTGGATGTGCAGTGCAACCTTTCATGCAAATTTTTGAGGTCTAAAACAATTTAAGGTATGGCTCTGTGGCATTCAACAGGTTCAATTCATGTTGTCTTGATGTGTCATAATTTTTACAGAGTTTGACTCACCATAGACACAAGTTGAGGAAGGGTTTTCCGTCTTGTGAATGGATCAGCTTTTTGTTCCACATTCATTTCTTCCTGATTGGAGTGGATTAATAGTTGTGAAAAAGTTATTATCAGTTTTAAAGGTGTTCACGCCAAGAGAGACTTGAAAGGAGGATTACAAATTTTAAACCCCAATCACCCTCAGTGTTTTCTGTTAACCTTTAACCTCCCACATGTTACTCCTCCTTATAACATCCATACTTCATCCAGAAAACAGGTAATGAGAATCACTAAACTTAACAGGGAGAGAACATTATTCTCTTTACTAATTTACACCAAAATATATAGCAGCTGGAGGGGAGAATCAACAATCAGCTCTTGGGAGTTAAAAGGTTAAAAGATGCTTCTTGGAAAAAGAGAACAGATAATTCACATTTTTTTCTTAACAGTATCTGTAACTCATCATCATCATCATCTGTACATGATTCACCATCAGCTTATGAAAAACTGCACTAACTTATTTTACAGAATCCAAGCAATAAAAATATAAAACTACAGTAATCTTACAGCTGCAGCTTTTTCAGCCTCCACAATATTCCTCTTTCTGTTTCTTTCATTGATATAACTGCAAGTGGAAACAGATTGCAATGAGATGAGCTGCTGGTAAAAGCATGAGGAAATTAAAAAGATGAAAAAATAAAAAAATGAAATATAGAATTTTCACAAGAAACAAACCAATAAAACTCTTAAAAAGGTAATAAAACTTTGTCTAGGTACATGGGGACCCTGAATAAATGCCCATGACACTCATCTCAAGAAGAAGCAAAGAATATCTTTTGATGCAACACCCTATTCTTTAGACTAACTTAAAGACATCCACCTTAAGATATTGGACTGGTTTTTCAAAAAGTGGTTGTGCAGGCTCTATATAATTTGTGAATGAAAGTTAAAATTGGAAGCATGAACATAGGGTGAGTAACATCTTGTGGACTTTCCCAATTGAAGGAAACAACAAAATACCAGTATGTAAACCTCTGAAAAGCAAGAAACCAAAATCAAACAACTAAAAGTGAACTGCATGTACAACACAGGGTAGTCTTGTCTCAATTTGCAAAACACAGCAGAAAGTTACCCTTTACCTGATAGCACTAAGGTTTTTAGACCGCACTTTGTCAAGTTGTTGTGCTTTCTCTTCCAAGTCATCCAATTCACCACGCAATTTTTCTGCTTCTTCCAAGTTCCCCTTCTGTTCTGCTATTTCCTGTTACCCATAAAAGAAAATAAATAAGTGCTGTTAACCCACTTTTCCTTGTTTGCATGCAGTGAAAATGATTACAAAACAAGCGGTACTATGGAGAAATGAAATTCACATCATTCCCTTACATCAAAAAGTAAATTAAATGAAATAAAATTATTATCATTCCTTCCACATCACTTCACTTGTGAATATCAACTTATGACTGGTTGTGACTGTCAGGCAGATATTGTGCAAGGTGACCATTGAGATCAGAGAGGAAGATACATGGAATTAGATAATTTAGCTTTCCTTGCCTAATCTTTATGGATCATCCCAAATTCATGGTAAAAACCAGCCAGCAGAATGTTCTCTGACTCCTTGCACCCACAATGTAGGTAATTGTGAGATTCAGTATGTATGGTGATTTTCAATTGGTTGTTGTAAAACTAAAATGAAAACCAATACAATCACAGCAGCCAATCATAACCAGGAAAATATCTTGAAGAGCCAATAAGAACATGAAATAAAATCAAGCAAACTGCCTGGAGCTCAGGAAAATGGACATGACCAAGTTATGATTGATTTTAGTTTTGATTATGACTGATTAAGGAAGTCAGTGGTACAAGTAAAGTATAAACGAAGCAATTCTGGATTACTTTTGACACTTTATTGAAAATTGCTCTTTCCCACTGAATCACTCACTGTGATGGTTCTGATTGGTTATACCCACATGTTTACCATGGCTACCTTTTAAAACTAAGCTCCCTCCTTCCCAAGTCTCCCAAAGTCATCTTTTCTTGATGAGTTTAACTTGGTGTTTGAATGTGACTGAGCTACTTGAACTAAAAGTTTTTAATAGATATTTTACAAACCTTTGATCGCATTAAATGATTCTTCTTCTGAGCATAATTAAAGGGTGTTTTCCTGAATTTCTGTTTCTCTGCAACAATCTGTCATCAGTGCAGCAAATAAAAAGACCATAAATTAAGCACTGCCTTGGTTTATGAAACAAAAAATGATGAAAAATTTTTGTCACACAAAAGCCTAAATTTTAAGCAAGGTGGAAATTTCTAGTAAATCTAAAGTACTGTGCTCAAAAAAAAGTTACCAATTTTGTTATAAATACGTCGAATTACTGAGTGCAGAGTATACCCTTTAGAGGGAAGACATGAATTTGGTGTTAGATCAAAATGAAAACTCCTACTTGATGAGTCTGAGTATTCTCATTACCTGTTTGCTGGATAACATATGGATATTAGAGGGAGAATTTACATGTTAATCACTTCTGGGAGTTAAAGGGTTAAGCTAGTCTCTCTTAGTTTTCATACCTTGTCAATATCCTCTTCATTATACATGTAATGCTGTGCTTCATTGAATTGTTTAGCTTTGGTGTCCACCTCCTCAAGTGTTGGTAAAGGAATGTCATGAGATTCACACTGTTCATAAATGACAAATAGAATCATTCACATCATTATAAGGCAAACATAAAAGAACAACAAAGGAGGAATTGTCTTGCTCATTTGTTTAGTTTATTACTGTTCCTGCTTTATTAAAACTAAATTAATGTATTTTAGGTTTTTCATACATCTTTAAGAGAAGAACACAACTACATAATGAGGACTGAACACTAAGTTTTATATGCACAATAGGGGCCTGGCACTAGTTTATCAGACCACGTTGTTCTTGTTTTATGTTCTCTGACTCCCATGAGGTGATGGAAGCAATTAGGAGACTTGCTGTACGGGAGGAAAACACAATGGTTGCTTGGGTGCATCTTAATAATATGCCCGCCTTTGCTGCAAAGCAGGTGTTTGCAAGTTTTTGGTCACATACCCCTACTGCAACTCTGAGGGAAACTAAAAAGGGAATTTCCTCCACAATGTCCTGAAGTGCAGCTTAGCCAACAATGAAATCCAGCTGGACCTTATCAGTGACAAAAACCAGGACATGACCGTTGAGGAGGTGTTTCAATTTATCAAGGCAAAAGAGGCCGACAAACGATCTGCTGAGTGCCTATTACACACTCAGGGGGTTGATGTCACCAGGAGCCAATACTGTTATGCCAAACAGGAGGAGCCTAAACAACACAAGCTTAGTGAAACATCAGACAGACACCTCATATCCCTCAACCTCCATTTGTAAAGCAACTTCCACAACTGGTGGGTAAATCAGCGATCCCAACCCCAACCATTCCTAATGAGCAATGGTCCACCCCAATGACCATAGAGCCCTATGATATGTACTCTCCACATAATAGCTGAAACCTCTATGACTCTCTGCAATGGCAGACACTGGCTGCCAGAGCTGCCTAGCAAGTATGAAGGTTATCTGCCTCAGCCTGTCCAAGAATGATCTCCTACCAGTCACCATGTGTATGCATGCTGCCAACAACAACAGCATACAGATTCTTGGTGCTGTCCTCCTACGATTCTCTGGCAGATCTAATTTCAGACACACCCTTCAGACCACAGACCCACAGACTGGTCCAGGAGTGGAATCAGATACTGGCTATTCCAGAAACATTGCGAGTGCACACCCATTAAACCCTTCTGCTGCCACAAAGGATGGAAAATACCGCTGGTCAGCAGCTGCTTTATTCATGTGACTGAGTTGCACTATGCCCTAATGGAAGGAGAAGCCCTTGCTGTCGCCAATGCCCTTGACAAATGCAATGGTCCACCCTAATGACCATAGAGCCCTATGATATGCACTCTCCACATAATAGCTGAAACCTCTATGACTCTCTGCAATGGCAGACACTGGCTGCCAGAGCTGCCTAGCAAGTATGAAGGTTATCTGCCCCAGCCTGTGGACAAAGCACAATTCTTTGTACTGGGCTGCAGTGACTTGCTTTTTGCCGTGGACCACAAACCCCTCCTTAAAGTATTTGGTGAATGCTCCCTTAAGGAGATTACCATTGCTAGGCTCCTCAACCTCAAGGAGAAACCATTGAGATACAGATTCAGAATGGTGCACTTCCCTGGTGTGCAGCACAAAGTTGCTGTTGCCCTCTCCCTCCACCCTAGTGGGCCTACGGAGCCTGCCCTGCTGGTCTTACCCGATGATATTGCTGCCACCAGCAACCTAGTAGCACCACTTCTGCTCTACACACCCCCCAGCCACCAATTCCTTACTAGCATCCGCTGCCACAAGCCCCTTGCAGGAAACAACTCCCCCACCATTGATGACCAGCTGTCATATGCCCTCCATATGCCCTGAGTACCAAGGCCATCATATAGGAGCGGGTCAAACTGGCCGCAAGCAACAAGGACCTCCCAGCTGACATCTATTGTTGAAGTTGACTTCCCTAATTTCAGACACAAGTTACCACCTGCTCTCCAGGAATACTATCAGTTCTGTGACCAGCTCTACACCTGTGACAGCATAATTCTCTACAAGGACCACATAGTCATCCCACCTTCACTCTGACAGCATGTCCTGACAGTCCAACACTCAGCACACCAAGGCATGACCTTGATGACTGCACATGCTGAAAGCACCGTATTCTTGCCATGCATCACCCCGGTTATTTCTTCCTTACGGGCCACATGTAACCAATGCAACTGCATGGCACCCTCTAAACCAAGTGCCCTACCCTATCCAATCATACCACCAGTATACCCTCCCAGACTTTGTTCACTACAAAGGGGTAAACTACCCTGTTGTTGTGGACAGATACTTCAACTAGCCCATTATCGAACTTGGCCAGGAGGGCTCCAATGGCCTGATAGAGTGTCCGTGGTGTACTTTTGCCACATATGACACCCAAATGAATGTGCCACCTGATGGTGCCATGGCTACACAGCAGTTCCTAAAGGAGAGGGGCGTGCATCACCAATTGTCCTTTGTCACCTTCCCACACTCCAGCTGTCAAGTGGAAGTTGGAGTCCGATAAACATGATTTGAAGTTGCCCCAAAAGTTCAACATGGTGGTAAAATTAAGTAAGTTGCCTGAGAAAGAATGGAGAGATTGACCCTGTTTTAATTCATTTGTAATCAAAGTTACCTCTTCTTTCCACCTGGCAAATTCCGTTTCTGTGAATCTCTGATTTGACACAAACTCTAATCTAAACACCCTTTCCTGGTTGCCATGTCTATTAAGAAAAAGGAAGAGAGAACCATTAACCTTTATTTCTTGTAAATGTAACATTATTTTAGAGAGGAAAAGTTCACAACAAACTGAAGGGATTTTAGTCATCCATATGGAGAACTGGTAAAAACTCAACTACATCATCTTATAAATTTAACACTTAAATTCTCAACTAACATACTTCAACTTCAATCCTTTATTTGTTTTTGTACTTCCCAAAGAGTATATCTTGGCTGTTTCCACCACATCTCTTATCTCTGCTACCTGGAATGAAAAATACCCATTTTATAAGTGGCTGTAATTAATGTTTATTGGTTGTAATTGGTTAGTTTGAACCCATTAGTTAGAAAGAAAAGTTTTTAAACCATTTAACTGCCAGAAGTGATGTACACTTAACTTCTCCTTACAATATCAATACATTATGCTGCAAACAGGTAACGAGAATAATCAAACTTATCAGTTAGAAGTTGTCATCTTTATCTAGCACCAAATTCTTGTTACTTATTTACAAGGTTGGGAAAAGTGTAGCAGCTAAATGAGAGAATTTTGAAATCAGATTTGGGAGTCGAAGGATCAAGTTTGTAGTGTCCACAATAAAAGTCTGCAATACAGAACTGAAATCTGTTGAGAGGAGTCTGCTCTGTAGGAGTATACCAGCTCTCTCTGTCATTGTCAGGTCAAAACATAAGTCTTTCTTACATGCTCCTTTTCAAGGCTACCCTTACATTGTCATACCCACTAAGATACACCAAAATAAAAATTCTTGAAAGCATCAGAAGCTGGCAAATATGCTGTGTACCAGCACCATCTATGTTGTCATTCAATTTCTTTATCTAGGATTGGAAATTTTTCAAACCAGTTTGACTTGCAGTTTCCTTTGGTTCAGATTATGATTTTTTACATCATAATGAATATAATATTAACAGGAAAATAAAATTCAAAACTTTTTGAAAAAATTTGTGCATAATCATAAATAAATATGTTGAAAGGCTAAATTAACGTGTCCTTCACTTCATCTCAATAACATAAACAAACCCACAAGCTAACTTCCTCAAAGTAACTCAGTGCTCAATCACAAAAAGAGAAAATAAATAAATATAGCATTAGTTTATTTTGTTTGTTTTAATTGATGTGTGGTTGCTCAGGTGCAAAAACAAAAAAACCTTACCCTATAAACAGGTCTTGCATCATGATTTCCGATACCAACGCGGACATAACAGCCAATCACTATCTTGCCAAAGAAGGGCATGTGTACCCATCTGTTTAGAACAGTTTAAAAAATAATAACAATTATAAACAACCAACCATTGATTACTCCTATGATTACTTTAACTTACAGAGTTACTTGAATGTGTTCCCAAACACATTAAAAAGACACTAAGTTCAAGTACAACAAGCCAGTCCTGAACTGAATGGAGTGCTGTTTGAGTTGTGAAGGTGCACTGTTGTTACCAAGTAACGCACATTGTAAGGACCTGAATGTAATGTACAGGAGCACATGGAGGCGAGGATAAGATCAATTTTCTCTTGGGTGCATTGAAAAACCAATGTTTAAAAGAAACTCTGAAGTTAATCTTCTTTAACCATGATCTCTACACTGATTCTAGTGAGAGAGTTTACCCAGTGAGACAAGATGCTTGTGTTGTACTAGACAAGGCAAGAGTGATATCTTCCATGATCTTTTCAAAGGTATTAATTTTCATTTCACTTTTTTTACACCATACAGGCCAGTACCTTTCAAGCTTGTGCCGTGATATTCTTATCCTCTCCAGATCTCCCAAAGCTGACACCCTTTGAGGTTGTGCCTCGCCTTGCCTAGAATATCATTTGAAAAAAAAAACAGTAATGTATCCATTTTTACATAAAATAGTAAATTACTGAATGTCCATGGATACCAACTTGGCCACCATGTACTTACTCTTCATCAGATTCTTGGTATGATCCTTCCCCCGAACTTGACTTGCTTTCCTCCTGCTCATCGTCATCTTCATCGTCAGTAAACACATCACTAGTCTTAAACTGTGGTGCTTTTTGGTCCGCTAGAGATTCTGCAACTTTCTTCTCTTTCTTCTCAGATCTCTTTGCCTTTAGATCATCCAAAGCTTTTGCTTTCTTCTCTTCAATGTGTCTCTTTCGCTCTTTTTTCCGCAAAGCTATTCCTTCCTTCTCAAGATTTGCTTTTTCCTTCTCTCGTTTCTTCTTCTTCTCCTTTCTTTTAGCAAGACGGAGTTTTCTTTCAATTTCAAATCGAGTCTTAAGAGCTTCTCTTTTCTCAACACGGTTGAAAATCTCCTGCTCTCGCTCTTTCTCTGTCATCTTTTCAAGTCTTGCCCTATCTGCTTCATCTCCCATTAGGTTGTCATCCCAATCATCATGATACTGCTCTTCCTCTTCATCCTCTGAGGATGATGATGATGACGATGACTCTGTTTGAATTAAACAAACAGTTTTACCCTGTTAAAAAGGCAGTAACTACTTACTTTGTATTCCTTAACCCTGTAACTCATATGAGTGATTAGATTTTCATGGAATTTCTCAGAAGTTGCAGAAGACAAAGGTGAATTTTTGTTCTGTCTGTGCTGAACAGGCTTCAAAGGATTATGGTAAAAAGAGGTTGAAATTTAAAGTATCTGATGATTCAAGTCAGAGTCAGTAATCAAATTTTCATAAACCTTATAAAACCAGTTCACATTTTGGCCTAGCTGACAGTGTTACATGTGCATGTAAACCTTTTTATATATAACTTGGGCATTGGGTAATTTGTTTCTATTGATACCCAGTATTTGTATCAAAGCCAGCTTTTCAGTCTCTACAATGTATATCTATTGTCCATATAATAAAAATTAAATTACATGTTAGCTCAAAGATATGAATGTTATGTTCTAATGGCACAAACATTATCTCATTTCTTGCACTCAATCGTGATATATTTTTCTTGCCACTTAAACATAAAATTCACATCTTTTTGTCCCCATATAATATCCTCTATATATATATATATGTTTAGAAATAGAGGACTTCTTTCTGTCTTCATAGCCTCATCTAAACACTAGGGGAGGGGAGGACTCTCAAAAGTTTTGCAAACCTAAGATGAGATGCAATTGAGGGTTTGCATAACTTTCCTTAATTCTTCAAGCCATGCTTGTGTTTCAATGAAGCTATGTAAACAGAGGAAAGGCCCTTTTTTGCTTCAGTACAAAGACTCTCACCACCAGAGGATGTTTCACCACTTTCTTCTGATGAAGAACCCGATGATGAAGCTTTTTTGGCTTTTTTCTTGTCCTTAGCCTTTGCAGCCTTTCCTTTACTATTCTCAGAATCCATTGTCCACTACAGGAATTAACAAATCAAATAACTGGATAAACAAACACCTATTAAACCTTTGATCCCAAAGAGTAACTAGCACCTAATGTCTCCTGACAATATCACCCCTGAATCAAACATTAAGGTGACAAGAATTAGAATAATGATCACCCACTAAAGAAGCTCTTGATTGTTTCACAATTCTCCTTATAAGCACCTTAGGAAATGTAGAGAGAACTACAAGGAGAATATCTATACTGATGTTGGGGTGTAAAGGTTTAAGCAAGGCATTAAGATGCATGACCGTGAGAACCGTGACCCTTTGTTTTGATTTGGATGGTTTACACAGCTGTGATTGGTGCAATCATAAACCTTGCTGTTCTGATAATATAATTCCAAATTCCCTCATGGATCTCTAGCTGAATGGTTATACCGTTGTTCCTCTTCTTGATTTTTCCCGTAAAAAAAAAGTAAAACAGCAACAGGAGAGCCATACATTATACACTGTATGTCATATGATGTGATCAAGTTTAAACATATACCATTTTTTCCGAGTACCAATTGAGCGTAAACAATCTAAACAGCGGTGGTTGTTAACAAGCTGCAGTTTCACCATATCATAACTTATAAAGCAAACTCATACAGGCTTGAAAAACTGATGAACCAAGTTGTTTGGGAAGTTTTCCAATTGTTCGATCGTTCGCATTCAATTGCGTGAGGTTTAAAAAAAAATTGGAACAATTCACAACGAGATGAAATAGTTGCTTATAGAATCCTGCCATATATTACCTCATCATCACTTCCCTCCGATGAGTCCAAGTCACTGTCTGAATCTCCTGATCGCTGTGGCTTGGCGTTACTATCGTTCGCTGGTCTCGAACGTTTAGCGAGTGACTTCAATTCCTGAAATAAACAACAACTTCCAATGTCACCAACACTTGAAGAAATGGCGAACAACTCAGATATCTGCGAAATTATTATTCACCTCCTCTAAGTCTTGTTCACTCTCATCATCGTCGCTGCTTGATTCCACTGCAACACGTTTTCTTTTTCGTTTCGAATCATTAGCTTCCTTCGTTTTCCCCATCTTAGTGCTTGAGAACATGCAGGAGGAGGCTAGGTTACTAGGCGTTACCCAGCTAAATGCATTGTGGGATAGAAACCTGGCTACCAAGTCTGTTGTCGTCCCCAGATCTTTTCATCGACTCAATTTCGAGTAAAGGAAAAAAATATTTGTTGATTACGCTTCGTGAACGGATTCCTTCATGAAAGTGTTAAAAGACATGGCTGCCACATTACCCGACGACGGAGATCTAGAGGAAGTTATGCTTATGAACCATCCTGTAAGAAAATCCTCCACTCGAAGAGGCGAGGTTAGCTAAAACTTTCGAAGACGAGGACGAATTTTGATCAGCATCGCCTGAATTTGTCTTCGTCCAGCAATCTTTCGTACCTGCATCGTACCTTGACCGTTTTTCTTTTGCGATTAAGTAACTGTGATTGGTTGAAATTTATCCGATTTTCGATATGTCTTGACCTATGGTTTTTATTTAACCTTTTTTTTTAAGGAAAGGAAACCGCTTTGTACAGAAGAAAGTGAACCAACTTCAACATCAAGAGAAAACATTCCCCCAGCTCCGCCGAAGAGCTTTTTGCTGCTTGACGAAACGGAAATTCTTCAGGTAACCTTGGATGGCGAATGCAAAATAGTGATCAGTAATTTATCTAAACCTTAAAAGATGTTAAGAGTATTTGAATTATCCAAGACCGAGGTTTTCTCTTATAACTAACTCTTATAACCAGGCCGGACCAACACTCAAGGTCTTAAAATGTGCTACCTTTATATAATATCAAGACATGGATAGAAATTCTAGTCTACTCGGATAAGGACGAACAAACCGTAGGTCCCGTCTCCTGCATCTATTAATAATTTGGTTAGGCAAGGGACGTTAAAGAACCCACTCACGAGATTACTATGATGTGGTCTGGCCTGTAAAGTATAGTGTAAGGTAGATAGCAGGTCCACATCAGCAACAGCTGCTACTTATTCAACCTGCTTTACCAAATAAAGAATGTATGTATGTATTACTTCGCTGTGGATACTGTATTTATGTTGACATAATAAAACCGTTTACAACTGAGAACTGACAGCCGTGATGATAATAAACAAAGCGACTTGTTAAGGAGTGATTGGTAAAAATTCATTGAAGAACTATTTAATAGTTCAATGAAATATTTAGAAAAATAGGAAAATGAGAGTTAATCACAAAGAAGACTGTATTTATATAAATGAAGAGTGTACTAAAAGTTTGTTTCTTTGATTGCTGGTAGATAGAGCTTTGTAAGACAGCATGGTTATTTTTTTCATTTGATCATGACAAAAACCAATTAATTGATCTGTAATGATTATAAATATGGCTGCCATTTCAAGTGTTAGCCCATCCTTAGAGCGTTGACCCATTGGCTCTGAAGTAGGGCTGACACCTGAAACTTTATCTTTAGAAACTCTTTGCAATGGCCTGTTTACATTATCAACTCAGTTTATAAAAACCAAATGATAATAACTTTTGTAATAATAACTCCTTCCCCCACAAATGCTTTAGAAACTCTTTGCAATGGCCTGTTTACATTATCAACTCAGTTTATAAAAACCAAATGATAATAACTTTTGTAATAATAACTCCTTCCCCCACAAATGCTGTGCCACAGTTTCATTGGAAACCTATTTCCTTTATTCATAGATCTCAGAATTACAATTATAGCTTTGGATGTTCAGTGTTACTTATGTAGCAGGATAGTGTTTTGGAAAGGAATTCTGTAACAGAAGTTAATGTGTGAATTATGTATCTTTTGAGCAAGGCTATTTAAAAGTCAGTTATCAATCACTGTCTTTTGGTATTAGTTTTGGTAATTACGTTAAATGCCTTCCATGTCAGATTTTTAGTATTTACAAATATGTCTCTTAAGGTATAGTAAATACTTACAGGGGTCACCACTCTCTTCTTCAGGTGCATACAGTGGAGGACTTCATTGCAAAGCTGTCATGCCATGGTGATACAAGCATGAAAGTTGTCTCCATATTTGGTAACACAGGTGATGGAAAATCGCACACCCTTAACCATGTCTTCTTCTGTGGCAAAGAAGTATTTGGAACTTCACCATCGCAGCTTTCCTGCACAGTGGGTGTTTGGGCTGCTTATGATGAGGGTGATCGGGTAATTGTCTTGGATACAGAAGGGCTATTGGGTATGTCTGGAAATCACAACCAACGCACAAGGCTCTTACTGAAGGTCCTTGCGATATCTGACATTGTCATCTATAGGACAAGAGCTGAAAGGCTCCACACAGACATGTTTACTTTCTTGGGAGATGCATCAGATGCATATCTAAAACATTTTACCAAGGAGCTGAAAGATGCAACAGAGCGATGCCATATGGATGTGCCTCTATGTAGTCTCGGTCCAGCTGTGATTATCTTTCATGAGACACAGCACACTCATTTACTAGGAGTGTCACAGAATGAAAGTAATCCATCAGGTTTGGAAAAATTTTGCAATTTGTTGATAAATTACACTGTAATTCCTCTTACTAATAAATGCTTGGGCATTTATTTAAAATTTTGGCCAAAGGGAGGGGTGCTTGATGGAAGTAGGGCTCTTGACAAAGAGGGTGGAGGGGTGTTTACTACTCTCTTGAACAGATTCTGTTTCATGTGTAGCAGAAGCTAAAAAGTTATTAGATAAAGTGACAGTAGAAACAGGCTTTCCTACCATTTTAAGAAAATGAGGGAGAAGGGGCAATAATTTGAGAGGGGGGCTTGTTTAATATAATGGCCCAGGGAGTAGGCACAAATAGATATTTCTAGGGGAGGAAACCTATTAGAGGGTGGGTGCCTATTTGAAGATATAGGTACAGTATGTTACTTGATTTTAAAATCTGAAGTATTCTGAAGGCTGAAATGTAAATTATGATTTATTTTCTATTCTACCACTTTAAAAGTCTTGTTATAATTTTCTTACTGAAACAGAAAATCTGAAGAGTCCTGATGAGATTTTAAAGGAGAGATTTGCAAATATAGGAAGAATTCCTCATGCATTTAGTTCTATCAAGTACCTAGGGACAAGAACAGAGACTCCACCAACAAACTTCAGGGGATTGAAGCAAGCTGTAAAAGAATGTTTAGTTGACAGCTCTGTGCGCTTGTCACGCTCACCAACTATCATTTATAAAGCTTTGATGGTAATTATTCTAAATTTGTTGAAAACTTTGACACCTAAGAGTGACTTTAGGCATCCTACTTCCCCACAGAATATCACCCCTGAATCACTTAATGTTCAAGCTCACCTAAATCCAAGATGGTGTCTAGTTATCAATCGAGATGCATGTGCTGCGTTTTGGAAACAAACGTAATGAGGAAGTTTGCTGTGGATTTATCTTTGCAAATCTTTTTAATTCACTATATCTCTAGGTAAGGTTATGATGAAACATTCTAGTCGCCAATTTGGCAACTAATTTTCAGGATTTGATTGCCAAAGTGAAAAATTTAGTTGCATTGGTGCCTGTATTAGGCGCAATTTCACGCCCTGCTCCTTGTACCCTTCCTCTGAAATCTGTACAGGAACAAATTATGAGAGGGGGGGTTTATTAAATTATCATTATGATAATAAATTAAATTTATGATGATCATTGTGTTACTAATTTTTTTCATCCAAGTTTCTTTGCTTTCCTTTTCATTAGCTCCTGAATGAGAAGTTCAGTGGGGACATTGAAAGAACAATACCAAACACTTTTCCTGATGAATATTTCACTTGCCAGGCATCATGCCTCTCATGCAAGTAAGCACAAGTTTTATGGCTATGATCATGTGGGCTAACTGTCCAGCCAAGGGTGGTCCTGCTATCTGTGACAGTAAGCGACAAAATCACCTGAAAGGAAGTCATCACCCAAGTCAATTGAAAAGTTCTTTGTGTGTTTATTGTTGTATTCCTTAATCCTCAAGAGTTACAGGCATCTGATTTGTCCTAATGGTACCACAGCTGAGTTGACATTAAGATCATGAGAATAAAGGAACATGATCGTCAACTAAAGATTGAAGCTATTGATCATTTTAACAAATTCTTCTTATTTGTACCATAGGAATTGTATAGAGAACCCTGTGCAGAATATAAAATCATATTAATGTTAGAATGTGAAGGGTTAAGTTGACTTTTTGCAAGTCATATGTCTTGAGCTTTGAATTTATTGTTTTCTGGAAATGTGTTCAATCATTTGGCTTATTATTAACTTTATGAAAGTTTTGTACTTACAAGGTTTCTCGGTGCTTTCTAACATGATTATCCTTTTTAACTATGGATATAATTTTTATTTGGTTTTCATACTTGTAGAGCACGATGTCAAAAGAGCATGAATCATGAGAACGATGAATCATCAGCACACCACAGTGATGTCAGATGTCAATATCAAGCCCAGTTTGACAACAGGATTTTTACTTGTAGGGTGAGCTGTAAAGCATATATCTATGCATATTTTTCCATCTCGACAGACTCTTGGAGTTCTTGCCATAAACTTTCTTCACCCAATTTATCCCTTTAATTCCCATGAGTGTCAGAATTTCATCTTACAATATCAACACAGAATCAAGCAGACAAGTGATGAGAATAAGGAAAAATGTCATCAAGGAGATTATTAGTTGATCCAAGACCAAATTGTCCAACTATTGTAACATCATAAGAATTACATGGCAGACACCAAGAAGAATTGCTAAATGGAGATCTTGGGAGTGAAAGGGTTACTGTATTGCATACAGTTACAGTTATTGATTTCTAGTTTCAATGGTTATAGTGTGCTTGCTTGTCAACCTTGCCAATACTGTAAGCTATAATTTAATGAGCTTAAATTACTCTCTGCCTTTGTTGTCACACTTACTTGTGGTATTCCTGTAAATGATTTGTTGGATATAAACAACATACACTGTATGTGATAATTATATGTCTTGATTACTTTTTGATGTTGTTTTAATAAAGGCCTGTTATGAGAGGGGAAAACAGAATTTGGTTGTTCCAAAAATGTGTTCCTCCAATGATTCATCCTGGCTTGGATTTGCTA